TCCTACAAAGACTTTAGAGTGTTGTAAGTTACAAACTAAATTCATATCTTATAGGCTTTTGTGTAAAGGAAGTAATCAGTACCACTATTTTTGTGTCTGGTTTTACTGACTCTTAAAATTCACGTAAACCCAGGAGCTTCCGGGGGCTTCGCGCCCTGGGTCACCACCAGGGCTTCGCCCTGGACCCACTGGGGACCTTAAGGCGTTCCCCAGACTCCCTGCCTGGGGAAGTTATCCACGTCCCCCCCCCCAATCATAAATCCTGTATCCGCCCATGGCGCCCTTTTGTATCCAAAATATACACAAGATTTAATAAATCAATTTATTATGTGGCTTTGGGCCCCTACCCCGACACAAAACTGGTCGGGCTCCCTTTTCAAGATTCCTGTATCCGCCACTGAAAAAGAATGTGTTGTTCTCTTGGATGTCGATATCTGAATTATATTTTATTTAAACACCTAGTCTAATATATCATGGGCGCCCATAATAGGACGATTATTTGTTTTAGCTCACCTGAACCAAAAACTCAAGTGAGCTTTTCTGATCAAAATTTGTCCGTTGTCTGTCGTCGTTGGCGTTGTCGTCGTCGTTGGCGTAAACTTTTCACAATTTCAACTTCTTCTCCAGAACTACTGGGCCAATTTCAACCAAACTTGGCACAGAGTATCCTTGGGTGAAGGGGATTCAAGTTTGTTCAAATGAAAGGCCACGCCCTCTTTCAAGGGGAGATAATAAAGAATTAGTGAAAAATTAATAGCATCTTTTAAAAATCTTCTCCTCAAGAACCACAAAGCCATGGAAATTGAAACTCATGTGGAAGCATCCTCAGGTAGTGTAGATTCAGATTTGTTCAAATCATGACCCCCGGGGGTAGGGCGGGGCCACAATGGAGGATCAAAGTTTTACATAGAAATATATAGGAAAAACCTTTAAATATCTTCTTCTCAAGAACAGGAAAGCCCTAATTGGTCATATTTATATGAAAGCATCTTCAGGTAGTGGAGATTCAAATTTGTCCAAATCTTGACCCTAGGGGGTAGGGCTGGGCCACAATGGAGGATCAAAGTTTTACATAGAAATATATAGGAAAAATCTTTAAAAATCTTCTCAGGAACAGCAAAGCCCTGATTGATCATATTTATGTGGAAGTATCCTCAGGTAGTATAGATTTAAGTTTGTTCAAATCATGACCCCCTGGGGTAGGGCGGGGCCACAATGGAGGATCAATGTCTGAAATAGAAATATTATAGGAAGGTATCTTCTGATGAAGAACTGCAAAGCCATGAATAGTCATTTTGATATTAAAGCCTCTTCAGGTAGTGTAGATTCAAGTTTGACCCCCGGGGATAGGGATGGGCCACAATGGGGGATCAAAAATTTCTTAAATAGAAACATATTGGAAAATATCTTCTTCTCAAGAAATGAAAACCATGTTTAGTCATTTTGATATGGAAGCATCCTCAGGTAGTGTAAATTCAATTTTTTTTTTCAAATGATAACCCCCAGGGGTAGTTTGGGGCCCAATGGGGATTGAAAGTTTTACATAAATACACATAGAAAAAATATTTCTTCTCAAGAACAGAAAAGTTATGTTTAGTCATATTGATATGGAAGTATCCTCGGGTAGTGTAGATTCAAGTTTGTTCAAATGATGACCTCTGGGATAGGGAGGAGCCACAATGGGGGATCAAAATTTTACAAAGGAATATATGGGAAATTTTTTTTTTAAATCTTCTCAAGTACAACAAAGCCATTTGTTATATTGACATGGAGGCATCATCAGGTAATTTAAAATTCACCCCCCCCCCCCCCAACCCCCAGTAATCTTTTCAATACTGAACTGATTTGTGTCTAGCTAATGTGCTCAGGTGAGCGATGTGGCCCATGGGCCTCTTGTTTAAAATAAAGTGGTTCTTACGGATGTTATAAAAAACCTTATAAACGGCTAAATAATTACATGTATTTAATTCATCTACTACAAATGTTAGTTTAGTTCTTTGCTTTCATAATCTAACTTTTTATAAATTAACACGAAAGTCGTGCGATCGTATACAAATACTCAGAAGCAATCTTTCATATTTAATGAACGTATAGGTGAATAAATTTCCTCTCATCACTATACGTAAACCCCCATCCTCGAAATAAATAGAATGTTTTCCTTCGCAGTCGGTTGGTTTAACCAGGTACATGTAAGTACAGGTGAGGATGGAGCTTTACAGAAGCAGGTGATGAATTCCGAGAGAAAGGCACTGCCTATTTTATATACATGTACATTCCTAGGGACCTGGTTTTCTGAACCGATCTCACTGTTATTCAAAGACCTAGTTAGAAACTCTCTCTTTCTCTCTCTCTCTCTCTCTCTCTCTCTCTCTCTCTGAAATGCAGGCCCGTCGATTGTAAAAAAAAAATAACAAAATAATTTCAATTTTTAATAAGTATCTCATCTCCCAAGCCAAAGACACAAGTAAGCTTTTGCTGTTCATAATTGTTCATCTTTGTTTGCTATCTTGGTGTATATAAACATTATCGTCATTGTTGTTCTAAAGCTACTCGTAAATTTTTCTCATTTTTATCTTATCAAGAACCACTGGACCATAACAACGAAAATTAACACAGAATATTTTTGGTAAAGTTTTGTTCAAATGAAGGGTCACATCCTCTTTTAACGGCTACATGCAGTAAAAATTAGATTGGGTCCAGGCGCAGATCAAGGAATTTTTTTCCACGGAGGGGCGGGGGGTATGCCAATAAAAAAAAATATTTCAACCCAGAAATTCCTTGACGAGCCAAAACAGAAAAAAAGAAACTCTTTTCCAAAACGTGAAAAACCTATTTCGTGTGTGTGTTTGTGTGTGTGTATGGGGGGGGGGGGGTCTTTGACTTTTAAATCTTCATACCTAAGACTTTTCATACCATTTTAACACAGATCCGCGTTTTCGAGGAAGGGTCCGCGTTTTCTTGGGGGGGGGGGGGCATGGTCACTTTTACTTGTTTAGTATATACATTTAACTGCCCCCCAGCCCCCTCTAGATCCGCACATGGGGTCATTTGAAAATAGTATTCTCAAGAATCCCTGGACTAGAATGAGAAAATTTCCAACATAGCATACATTCATTTTTTTTTTCTTCAAATATTGATTCCAGGGAGAAAGTTTGGGCCGGAAAGAATGTTCATAATTTTACACAGGAATTTATATATCCCCCCAAACGAAGTGTGTGGGTTTGGGGTGGGGTGTTTTGAGTCTTTTGGAATCACACTGTCCGTCTGCCTAGCTGTCCGTCTGTACGTGATAGTTTGCCAAGGATATTATAACTTTGTTATGAAGAAACTGGAAGGTCATACTTGGTACAAAGATTACTAATGATCCGAAGGTGTGTCATAGTTTTGATCCAACATCATTCCGGCAAGTTCAAGGTCACTGGAAAAAAATAGCAAGTATCATACTTGATACAGAAATTACTTATGACAAAATTAAAGAGTTTGACACGACCTTCATCCAAGGTCATTCCTGTAAGTTCAAGGTCACTGACAGAAAAGTGTAAGATTACTGTATGTGCTATAATTTTGGAAGCTCATACTTGGAACAAAGATTGCTTATGATCCACCGGTTTGAGATAACATAGTACTAGACTGGCAGAAGAAGTGGCAAAATTCGTGCCTGGATTATAAATTTATAAGGGTCAAGGTCACTGGCAGATAAATATTAATTTTTTTCCATGCTATAACTTTGTAATATAAAATCACTGGAAGCTTTTACTTGATACAGAGATTGCTTATGATCCAAGAATGTGTTTTGACCTTGATCCAAGGTCTTTCTGGCAAGTTCAAGGTCACTGACAGAAAAGTGCAATATTCTTTTTCAGGTATATCTTAGTCATTGAGTATCACTGGAAGCTTATAATTTGTTCAAAGGTTGTTTTTGACCTTAACATAGGTTATTTAGGCAAGTTCAAGGTCACTTATATAATAAGTGTAAAATTCAAAAAGGTCTAGTCGCCCAAGTGGCGCAGGGGTAAGAGTGTCTGCTCTAGAGTCGTGGATTAAGGAGTTGATCCTTACGTCACAGGTTCGAATCCCACTGTGGGACGCAGAGACTGATCCTTCGGATGAGACCGTACAAACTGAGGTCCCGTCAGGCAGTAGGTGCTGGCACGAAAAAGATCCCTCACTGCTCAATGGCCATGTGTGCCAAGTATAGGTCAAAATTTGCAAGATCTCCATCGGCAAATGGTGGCGTCTCCATATGATTGAAAAATTCTCAAAAGGGACGTTAAACAACATACGAACAAATAAACAAAAAGGTCTATAATTTTGTAATAGAAAAAATTGCATGCATTTGCATTTCACTGAAAAGATGATAAATATATCATCCAGAGTGTGTAATGGCCTTGGCTTAAATTCGAGGTCACTTAAAATATGATGTTTTGGATGAATAGTCTGAAAGAATACGTGACTGTGAATTTTTTTTATGTCGGTGACATAAAGATGGTGTTTGCTCTTAACAAGCTGCAGAATGTGTTATGGCTTGACGCAAGGTTATTTGGACAAGTTCAAGTTCACTGACAGGGGAATTTTACATTCCTTTACTGTCTTTCTACTGTTGAAACATTGAAAGTTGATGCCCCTTACAGGATTGTTTATAACCTTAAAATGTTGCATGACCTTGACTCAAGGTCGCTCTGTCCTGTCTGGAGCTCCGACGGAAGACCTATTCGTTGCATTGCAACGAGCTCGGCTCTAGTTGTCATTAATTTTCTTACAGCATTTTCAAAGTACTGAGTGTGAATGGGAACAAATTATCCTCTTATATAAAGATGGCATCCAAATTGTCAAATTATGGGTGTTCCTAAGTTTATTAAAAACAAAAGAGTTATTGACTGAGATTTGAGCAACATATATTTTGTTGAAGAGTATTCCTAGCAACTACAGGTAACTGAAGCTTGTAATACTTTGAAAATCTAAGACATTGGATAGAAATGTTTTCATCTAGTTTCACTTACTGGTATGCCCTTTTGACCAGCTATTCCAGGTATGCCCTGTTCTCCTGGTTGTCCTGGGAAACCTGGTTGACCTGGTTGTCCAGGAAGTCCATCAAAACCAGGATCACCTGGATCTCCCCTAAAACCAGGCTCACCCCCAGGACAAACCCCACAGTCATCACCTCTTCTACCTGAAACTGAACAGATAGGGAAAAAATTGCATGAAGAAAAAAGACTTCTTGGCTTTACATCAAAGCTAGTTAATTCATGGTGAAAAGGGAAAACCTTAATAGGTGCACATGTAATTGAATAAAAGGTTTATGATCCCCACAATGCCTATTATCCCCATACACCCCAGTGACATAGCTTTTTAATATTAAGTCAATCCTTTTTAGTGTCCTAAGATATCCACAAACATGACAATGCTATCATTTGGTTTAGATCTGCTCTGAGTTTACACAGGCCTACTAGTCAATGAATGATCAGAGGATAAGAACCAGCTGACTAGCCTTCACAAAGCACAGAATAGTCAGCTGTCTAACAGGTAACAGCATTCAAATTCACATCTGGAATAACAACTCTTTAAAGTTGGTGCTAAAATATTAAAGCTCATTATTATTTAACAAATTCAACATTTTTTTTTCAAACTATCTATTAACATATTGAAGAAAAATGACACACCTCTTTCTCCTGGGATTCCATCACGCCCATCCTCTCCAGGGAATCCTGAATCTCCTTCCTCTTCGGGAAATCCTGAAGGACCTCTTGGACCAGTAACATCCAGACCATCTCCAGGGATACCAGGGAATCCCTCAGGACCAGGTTCTCCCCAGGACCAGGAAGTCCATCAAGACCAGGACTGGTCTTCCTACTCAGCCCTGTTCACCAGGGTATCCTTGAACTGTTTCTCCAAGTGGTCCCAAATCTCCTGGCACTCCTTTTAATCCAGGTATTCCAGGCAAACCAGGCACTCCATCAAGACCAAAGCCACCTGGAATAAAATAAGTAATCATTGCTTGAGCTTAGAAAATGTTAACCAGGGTTTGAGAAAATGCAAACAAGTGCACAATGCTATAATTATTCAAAGAAAATAAGAAATTAAAAAAACTTAATTTTTGTACTTTGTGCAAATCAACATAATAATCCTAAAAAATACCTTGGTCTCCCTTGTCTCCTGGATAGGAGAATCCAACAGGTCCTCTCCTCCCAGGTATTCCATCAGGCCCCGGTAGGTCAGGAGGACCATATGTCCCATTTGACCATCTGGACCGTCATTTCCTGTGCAGTATACAAATTATAAGATCAATCATCTGACAGCATGTCTAAATATCAATTCTCACATCTACTTATACTTAGTAATTATTAATTGATTTCCTAACACTTACCCGGGAATCCTGGAAGACCTTGTGGGCCAGGGTCACCAGGTCGACCTCTGGGTCCAGGACGACCTTGACCCCCACCATCTGGATCTCCTTCTGGACCCTGCAATTTCATTTTTTTTAAATAATTTACATGTACTTGAATATTTAACTGAATTCTAAACACTAAAATTTAGTAAAATCAAAACTATTTTTTATTCATTAAGAATTTGGAAATAAGTATGGATCATTTTTTTATATATATTTTGGAAATGACACAAAAAAAACTGCGCTTCCAAATATTCCAAATTTGGAATATTGAAGGATTAAAATCATCATGTACAATTTCAAAAATTAATCACATGCAAATTTTGGGGAGAAAGGTTCACAAATGGAAACAATTTTGGGTCTGATTCTAGATTTTCCAAAATGAGGACTGTACTGAGCAATTAATGTGATGCAAGTAATTCACTACTACTTTTGAAATCTATACATATTAAAAAAATTGAATATCATTATAAAGATATTATGTAACATTGCCAAATAATTGTATTGTCATGGTAACCTACCGGATCTCCAAGGTCACCCCTCATCCCCTGAAAACCAGGGTCTCCAGTTCTGCCCTAAAAGCAGAGAAACAGCCTTAGGAAAGGTGACGAAAATATACAAAATTTACCCTGATGAGAATATTGTGACAAGATCCAATTATAAATTTCTTATTCAGAACTCCATAAATAGTGTAAAATCTTAACTTTCTAGTCTATCAGTTATTGTTTGTTGCCACTCTATTTTACTAAAATCAAAAATAAGCCTTAATGCCTTAGTTAATTTGAGGGGTGGATCTTACTGTTTCTCCTGGTAATCCATCATATCCTTGTCTCCCCTTTTCTCATTGTTCTCCATTCAAACCATACTAGGGTCCTGGTGGGCCTCCTTACCTCTCTTGCCCTTAAAAAAAGGGTCAAAAAAACAAAATATATTATTATCACCATACCTAAGACATAAAATTAAAATCGCCATAAAAATAAGGGCAAATAAAGAGTCAAAATGATCCCCCCCATCATTGCATACCCTCATTCCTTGCATTCCAGGCATCCCAAAAGGCCCTTTATCACCTGGCAAACCTGGAAATCCCTGAAAACAAAAATCCAGGTAAAAGTCAATGAAAGCTACATTATAAATCAAATCTATCTCTATGTTTTCCAGTTACATGTATTTCAAAAAATTGTTATATAATAGGAAATTAAATTTTTCTACTGCAACTTATTACAGATTGTTCATGTCTTTGGCCTTCAGATAAAGGAATAATAAAAGAGCAAAGAGCTAGGTTCACTTTATGCATAAAATGGCCATGCCATTATATCAATTAATTGACTATCACCCTCTGTCCCATTTCATATATCAAAAAAAAGTAGAGACTTAGTGCTTTCATTTCCTATAACAAAATTTATATCAATTAATTGATTATCACCAAGGGTCCAAGTTATAAATGCTGCATTTTCAACCAAAACTGAGCAGTTTTGATTTTTCAGAAATTCTCAGGGCCAAAAAAGGCCCTAAGTGGCTCTTGCTCTTTTCAAGTTAAGTTGTATTGTTATGACAGAGAGAGTAACAGTAGGGAATTTCCCACTAACCGGATCACCACTCATTCCATTAAATCCGGGTCGTCCAGGTCTTCCTCCCTCACTTGGGTCTCCCCGATATCCCTTTTCTCCCATCAGAACCTCGTCCGGTTTGTTTCCTGATAAAGTTGTGATGGAGCCTTTGGGACCTTTGAGACCAGGTAATCCTACCTCTCCCTGAAAACAAACAGGCAATCATGTAAATTATAGGTCAACACAACAGGTCATATTCAATGTTTTACATTTACACTGGTGACCAAAATAAACTTTCTAATGCCTCTTTAGCATTGGTTAAATAATAAAGGATATTTTACATGAAATATTCTTAGACTATTTACATTACACGTTCTATTCTTCAACAAAATTGTGGTGAATGATTACAATGCATGATAAGTGATTTATCTACAGAAGTATACCTGTAACTTCAACGACCAATGAACACTGACCTTTTCACCTTTGGGGGGATTTCTACCCTGGTCTCCCATGCTTCCCTTTGGCCCTTTACCTCCTGGAATTCCAGTCGGCCTCTAAAAATTTTAAAGAATTAAAATTTAATTAGAAAAGATACATTTTAAGATAAATGAAGGTACCACAATATTCAACTGAGCTACAAGAAAATTATGAAAACTACATCATATGAATGCCCTAAAATATATTCAATACTACTTAGTATATTTCCTGCTTCCCCTCCCTGTACCCCACTTCTTTGATGGCTTCATTGTTGAAATAATGAAGAGATATCATAAAGATCTAGCAAATTTATGTCAGTATACTTTATTTTGAAAATATGACCAAAGAAAACAGACCAAAAAAATTCCTCAACACTGGGACAGGTACATGTACTTATCTTCTTTCATGTACGAGGGGCATTTCAAAAGTTCTGGCAACTGGTATATAAAATTTCAACTACATTACGGATTAAAATGACTCTGATACCACTGTAAAGCTTAGGCAAATATGCATTAGTAGTGACGTATTTTACATTCAAAATGACGTATAGGTCTGCTAAAATGACGTCCTAATTAGGTATACTCTGTATACTGGGTGTAAAAATGACTGATAAGGAGAACAATTTTTCTGTTGAGCAAAGAGTGTATTGCAAAATTCGCTCATTGCTTGGCTTTACAGCAACAGAAATAAAAGCCGATTTAGATGTAGTATATAGAGAGCATGCTCTTTCATATCAAGCAATAGCAAGATGGGTAGTTCAATTTAAAGAGGGTAGAAAATCAATTGAAGATGACCCCCATTCGGGGCGTCCAGTTTGTGCATATGGCGAAAAAGAAATCGTCACTGTTCAAAATACGATAACTGATGATGCTAGATATACAGTTGAGGAAATAGCAGACTTAACAAACATTAATTCGTCAGCAGTTTTTTGTATTTTAATGAAAAACTTAAAGCTTAGGAAAGTCTGTGCTAGATGGATGCCGCATCTTCTCTCGGAAGAGCAAAAGCGCATCCGGGTAGAACACTCAAGCTCAATAAAATGGTGCAAATGATGTCGCTGGGGGTTAAGCGTAAAAAAATAATGAAATGTCAAAGAAAATACTTTTTGAATGAATGCATGAATATGTAACCTTTAAGGCAAAAATACAAAAATGAAGTGAACAAATCATATTGAGATATTTTATTTGGCATATAGTGATTTTTTGAAACGTACGTTACTGTCGCCAACATCGAATAATTACACTTAAATGGCTATTTTTTGTACAAATAACAGTTGAATTTTAAATTAGATAGCATATGTCTTCAAAACATTTATTTGTAAAATGCTTTTAATAAATTATTGAGCATAATCACAAATATATTACCAAACTTTGATCTGATATCCCCATGTCGCCAGAAACAAAATAAAAACGGACTGTGACATTAAATATAGTATGAGTATTAGTTATTGTATGCCTGTAAGATTGGAATACGTTTTATTTGGAAGGAAACTTCTTGAAAATTAAAAATAAATGGTACAAAGCCTTGTATATGTTACCAATACTCTGAAATTACATTTTATCTTCCTATTTTACATGCGTATGGATAGGCATGAAACATTCGTTGTATTAGTTTAATAGATGAAATAGAATGATATCATAGTTAAACATGTGATACTTTTTCTTCTATCCAACAACTGTATTCCATGCTCCAACCATTATTTAACAATGTCTTATTGTTAGCTTACTATTTAAGAGAAAATTATTAAATGAAACAACCGTTACCGAAACATTCGTTACCAAACCTCTGAAAAAAGAATGATTTATGAGTTCAAACATCTTCTGCACATATACGTAGTCAAATATTTTGCGCCAGTATTCAAATTTTGACATCCGGAGTACGGTACTGCCTTTTTATGATTTTTTTCTAAAGTCTAGACAGTGTTGGTGAGTTTGTTTTCTAGAATGCAATAATAATGAATCAAATGTAATGAATTAATATGTAACTGTTAATATTTATATAACGACCGACAACAACTACGCAACCAGTATCAATCTACAACTGAATGTCCTCTGTTAGTCTTGAAAGGTGTTGAAACGTTCGTTACCGAAGGTAACGAATGTTACAAAATTTTTAACAAATCATATATCAAAATTGCAACAATATTTACAGATTTTATTTCATGACTAATTGTTCGAATGTAAACTTAATTGATTGATTTGTATCATTTTAAGCTTAAGTTGCATAAATTTTAATATAAACTGATTATAGAGACGCATTATTGAACACACACATTAAATCTGAAGAAAAACATTTATTGAAATTATTTTGAAAGACATTTTTAGATTGAATCATATGATATTGATTAAACAAAGGCTTGAGTTTCTATTCTGAATCTACATCAGGGTTTTTTGTTTCTCTCTTATAATTTTGATACTGTTAAACTCGCATTTTATGTTATGTAACGTACGTTTCAGCATTTTATTTTAGTTGAACTATGGCATTTACCCAAGCAGAAATACGAAGGAAGTTTCCATTGATGGTTAAATGATTTCAAGCTAAAAGTCATCAGAAAATTTGTTATTTACATTATTTTAGGTTCTGTTAAAACGTCTATACAGACAATTTTACATATATCTCTTATCCGTTTGTACATATAGTACAGTTCAAGGAAAATATGACACGATGATATATATGATGCAGTTCAAATTATGATTTCTTTTGACATTTTCAATACCATGGCACAAGTAGAGCAGAAATTACATCTCATGAATTGGTCCATGTAGTTGGAATTAATCTTAAAAACAGTAAATATTACTTCTCATGAAACATTCGTTACATACGGACGTTGTTGCATTTGAAAGTGTAAATAAGAACAAGATCACAATTCATGAACAACATTTTATTTAACGTTTCTATAAATGGATCCTCTATTCATTTAGAACCCCTATTTGCGCTGGGCAGTTTTGATTTTTCTTGAGGCATATTTGAAATATAAAATTTTAGAGATATGTCAAATTCATTTGAGGAAAAAAATATAATACGACAATTTGACTGCATCAATTCATAAAATACATTATGACAGTTGGCCTTTTTTGACTTATCACGAAAGTAAATAGACTGATTTGCTTTTGACATTGAGGATTTATTACAATCTATATTATTTCATCCTAAAATCTTAAAGGAAAACTATAATATGATACGTAACGCTTGTTTCTCAGCAAATAATGATCAACAATACACCTTTATTTCAAATTGACGTAATTTCTTAACCAATGAACTTAACTTGAAAAATCTTTGGGAATACAAACTTGATATGTTGATCTATCCGAAAATGTTATTAGCAGATGGATAATCAAAAGTCGATTTTTGAAGAAAAAATATCTTGAATTGCACCAATTTATTGAGTTTGGGTGAGAAATGGCTTCACAGTTACTAACAATTTATGAAGATTGTGACCAAAGGTGAATAAATGAGATTGTAACTGGTGATGAAACATGGATATATTTTTTTGAACCGGAAACTAAGCTCAATAATAAAGTTTGGATCGGTGAAAATGATACAAGGCCTCAAATTGCACGCAGAAACCGGTCTGTCCGGAGAGTAATGTACGCCTTATTTTTTTATTCTAAAGGCCCTGTTGCTCAAGTTCCGGTTCCAGAACACAGCAGTGTTACTGGTCAATTTTATGCAGAGAATGTCTTGTCTCAGATTGTAGAGCACTATAAAACGACCCGACCAACAACCAGTACTACAGGAATAAAGCTCCTCCATGACAACGCACCTGCCCATAGATCAGAGGTAGTAACCAAATATTAAAAGAAAAATGGTATTGCCGTTTTACCACATCCACCCTACAGTCCTGACCTAGCTCCATGCGATTTTTGGTTGAATGCCGTTATCAAAGAAGCCCTCCGAGGACGGTGAATTGAAAGTAGTCATCAGTCCGAAGTGCCGTATTCCAGTGTATGAAGCGTATACCGATAGAGGACTATAGGGCAGCATTTTCCACGTGGATTTCGAGACCGAAAGAGTGAGTCCAGATCAACGGAGACTATTTTGAGGGATTGATATAATTTAATTTATGATAATGACGCTCATTAATTTACTGCACACCAGTTGCCAGAACTTTTGAAATGCCCCTCGTATTTGTATTTCTAGACTTATAATGTTACAAGATCAAATAAAATTTATGTTATTATTTTGACCACTTCCTGCAGGAACTGTCAAATAACAATAAATGGTGTATAGTGACAAAAATTATCTCCCTTATACCGTTTTCATTTATTATATAAAAAATCAATATGGTACTAATAAACATTTGTGTTTAAATAATAAAAATAGAAATACAGTAAAACATGCTTATAGCAAACACACTTATAATGAATTAATGCCTACAGTGAAGTCATTTTCATTCCCCATGATTTTAAACTTATTGTGAAGCTAACAGATATAAAGAATTACGTTTATCACAAAGTAAAATCACAAGTCCCTGGCACTTCATTATATTACTGTATGCTGATGGAATATTTAAGAACTGTAATTTGTTAAGCAAAGTAGTTTCATTACATTTGTCTTAAAATCATTTTAACTATAACACATGTATAATCTGTACAGGTATAGCAAACTATGGAAACAAAAAAAATCGATTTTTTCCTTGTGAGATCCTGTTGCCTTCTGATAATTGTACATGTCTCATAATAGAAACTGACTGAACATTTCTTACCCGAGGACCTGGAGGGCCAAAAGGCCCAGGGGGTCCAGGTCAACCTGGAATGCCTGGATCACCCTAAAAATAGATATATCCTAGATTTAATCATTATCAGACATAAACTGGAACAATTACAGAAATATTTATTATGGAATAAAGCTCTTAAAGTTAACTGAAATCTAAGCATAGAACTTAACTTGTTAAAGTTACATTAAGATTTACATTTCATTATATATATTGCGAGATAACACGTCTGAAATCCAGTTGTTATGGTGATGATACCTACACTAGGACCCCTTCATACTGGATTACCCGGATCACCCTTTGGACCAAATCCATAAAAGCCATTTCCAGGATTTCCCTGTGGATTATAAAATACATTTTATTGCCAGAAGATACATATTAAAGCCAATCTTTTGAATTATCTTATGAACAAAATACAAAATTGTACATTATAAAATCACTAAATCCAATCTGAGACTTGATCAGCCACTTTAGAGACTTGTGCATTATGTGCTTTATGTATGCTTTACAGATTATCCTAATTGGATTGGAAGACTTGAGTAATTTCTCTGTCTGTCCATCAGTCTGTCATTCTATCTGTGTATAACACTTTATGTCTGGACAATATCTCAAAAAGCCTTCGAGCTTTTGCAATGAAATTTATGCCCCAACTCAGGCCTTCCAAAATGTGCTGGTACCCGGTACTTTTACACGGCTGATATTACGAAAATATTCATTGGAGAAAAATTTGATAACATATTTAATTAAAATCTCTTCCACAAGCTACCTCCTATTTTTGAAAAAGTACCGCCTGTTTCTAATATTTTTGAAGCCCTGCCCAACTGCCTATGGCCTAAGGGAGACCTCTATAAATTTTGAGGTCAAAAGGTCAAGATCGGTAATTCATACATTGCAAGAAATGGTTTCCAGATGGTAAACTTACTTCTCTTTGAACTTTTTCAATGAAGATTTATATCATACCTCCAAGTCACCTAAAGACAACCCCTGTAGATTTTAAGGTCAAAGATCAAGGTAAGAAATTCATACATTTAAAAAAAATGATTTTCAGATGATCACTTTAGTTCACATAAAGCCTTTTCAATTAAAATTTTTTATCATTGCTCTTTGTGACATAAAGACAACTTGTAAAGGTTTTGAGGACAAAAGGTCAAAGAAAGAAATTCAATTATAATTGCAAAAATTGAATTCCAGATGATAATTTTAGTTTTATTTGAGCTTTTACAATTAAATATTATTATATCATTACTCCCAATGACTTAAAGAAGATCCCTTTTGAATTTTAGGTAAAACGGTCAAGGTCAAAAATATCTTGTAAAAAAAAAAAATAATAATAATGGCTTCCTGGTGTTATATAGAGTTCTCTTTGTTTTCCAATAAAATTTTATACTTTTAGTCAATATGACTTAAAGAAGACTCTTTTGATTTTGAGAAAAGGTCAAAGGCCAAAGTCAGAAATTTATATATTGCATACATAATTTTCAGATAATAACTTAAGTTTTCAGTAAGCTTTTGCAATGAAACTTAAGGTCCTGAATTTCTTTAAATCAAGAAAAACCCCTCATGACTTTAAGGCCAAAAGCTACAGCTCAATGTCAATCTTTTTTTCTTTCACAATCTGCATTTTTTTTTCAGATCTTCCTTGCTCTTCATATAACTTGAAGCGGGGGACACAAATTCCCTGAATTAGCTTGTGATACTTTTGACATCAGTTAAACTGCCTTAAAATTAATTAACAAATAGGGGTTGCTTGTGGGTGCAAATACAGTTGCCAAAAAAAGAGTAAACAAAATGACAGCACAAGATGTCAATACTTAAAAACATGAAAGATTTTTATATCTTTTTTGTGTGTTGTTTCCATGACAACCTACCTTGGGTCTGGGTAAACCTGGTTCACCCTGAGGCCCCCGATTTTCTGGCAGTCCATCAAGTCCAGGGTTACCCTTTTGTCCTTAAAATAAACAAACACATATCCTTTTTATTTTAATATTCTGTAATAACAGACTGCTTTGTGTCATTCATGTTTACAATAAAATTCTAATTAACCTATGGAATTTCACACTACTCCCAATATCATGTTTACTACATCAATTTTTGATATGTAATATTTGCTGTAAATTTACAATGTCTTAGCATGGAAAACATTGGCTAACATATGCCAATTTTATTAGAAAAAAAATTGCATTTTGAAATCTATGATAGAATAAATGTTTTCATACCACCCCTCTATTTCTCTCCTTTAATTATTGTTCACTTTGTCTTTCATAATATAAGTACTCAAAGTATTTTTCATAATAATTTCCATTGCATGACATAATTTATTACATATTAAATGATTACATTACATTTGATACATGATTAAATTATTTCATACCTTTGTCTCATTACATCCAGGGTAACCCTGTGGACCCCACAGGTCCCTCTAAACCTTCATAACGCTAGAACAAGAAAAAAAATGTCAAAACAATAACATATCACTCTGAAGCTATAAGAATGACCAATATTTACAATTTCATATATACACATGATAAATGTAATAATTATAAATGATAAAATCACTTTTTTTGGTGAATACTAGGATTAACAGTTGTGACACTGCAGAAAAATTTCATAGCCGGTTATTTAGTTTTTTCTGCAATGGTTGCAAGTGATAATCTCCATATTAACACAGAAAGAAAGAAATTTTATTGTTTACATGTATATCTGTATACATTATTCTATAAAGTAGGTGAAATTATGTTAAATATTGTTTTATCGATCCATATCATACATCACATTGATGAAAGAGCCAATTCTTAAGACATGGCTTAAAAAAACAGATCTAACTTAATGAGTTTAGAGTTAATCAATTGATGAACAGCCATTGGTTTTCATCAGAGAGAAAGGCAAAAATATTCAATGTAAATATTTCATACCATATATAGTTATATTTTATAATGCTGAAAATAATGCTGTTAATGAAAGAAAAAAATTAAATGTAGTTACCTACTACAGTGGTGATTTACAAACAGCTAGAAAATATTGTGTTAAATTGAACCACTGAAGAAGAAAATGTTACCCAAATGGCCATATTTAAACAAGGATGTGGGTACAATTAAGACTACATACTTTATAATTCAGAGTCAAATATCATACAATCATGATGAAGACAAGAGCCAATTACCAGCACAACGAGAGATGACTCACAACGAGAGATGACTTACAACAAGAGATGACTTATAACGAGAGATGACTTACAATGAGAGATTACTTACAATGAGAGATGACTTACAATGAGAGATGACTTATGAGAGATGACTTATAACGAGAGATGACTTACAACAAGAGATGACTTACAATGAGAGATGACTTACAATGAAAGATGACTTATGAGAGATGACTTATAACGAGAGATGACTTACAACGAGAGATGACTTACAACAAGAGATGACTTACAATGAGAGATGACTTATAACGAGAGATGACTTACAATGAGAGATGACTTACAATGAGAGATGACTTACAATGAGAGATGACTTACAACGAGAGATGACTTACAACGAGAGATGACTTACAAGGACTTAGAACATTGTTTTGAAAAATATTTGATTTATCTTCCAAAGGATTTGAGACAAGAGGCCCAGGGGCCACACTGCTCACCTGAGCACTGTGGCTAGGAAAAAAGGAAAAATCAGTTTAGTATTGAAAAGCTTAAATGCATAAGTGGTCCCAACCTACCCCTAAAAGGGAGTGGAGGGGAGGGTATGATTTGAACAAAATTAAATCTACACTAACTAAGGCTATTTACATCATTTTTTGACTAACTGTGACTTTTTTCTCTACAAGTTTGAACTTTCATTGTGGCCCCACCCTACCCCTGGTGGTCATGATTTGAACAAACTTGAATCTTCACTATCTGAGGATGCTTCCATATAAATATGACAAACTGTGGCTTTGCTGTTCTTGAGAAGATTTTTAAAGATTTTTCCTATATATTCCTATGTAAAACTTTGATCGTTCATTGTGGCCCCATCCTACCCCCGGGGGTCATGATTTGAACAAATTTGAATCTACACCACCACCTTAGGATGCTTCCACATAAATATGACCAATCATAGCTTTGCTGTTCTTGAGAAGATTTTTAAAGATTTTTCCTATATATTCCTCTGTAAAACTTTGATCGTTCATTGTGGCCCCACCCTACCCCCGGGGGTCATGATTTGAACAAATTTGAATCTACACCACCGCCTGAGGATGCTTCCACATAAATATGACCAATCATATATACCACTATTTTGAACTATTTGGAAGAAGAGCTTAAAGCAATTAAAGAAGTAGGGAAGAATGGTCAGATTTTCAAGTCTGAATGCAATACTGTTACAGCCACACTCTATTCTGGCACCAGCGTTCTGCACATTCAAGGATCGTCGGCAAACTCCTGGCTTGACAAATTCCTTCATGACATCAAAAAGAAAAACTCTAACAGCATTAGTAGTATGTTGGGACAATCTATTCTACAAATGGCATCAACGCCTGTTAAAATTGATTCTCTTCTGACAGCGAGTACTGGTTATGTTCAAAATTGTACACAGTGTGCTGGTACAATACAAGCTTTAAAATTGGCAGTCTGTGAGTTAGCAAACGAAATACAAGAATTAAAAGAGAAACTCAAATGCAAAAACAACCCCACTTTGTTTGACAAAAACACACAGACACTTTTTAAGGTAGTGAAAAACAAGGAAACTGATGTGCAGGGTTTGAATTCTTTACCACAAAATTCAGCATCTCGACACACACAGTGTGATTTTACAGAACCCGACAAGGAAACAAAATATACCTCAGATTCGGGTACTAACACGGAACCATATATCAACACTACACCAACATGTACACCCGAAAGATCCTTTGAACAAAAGAAAACTTCTGGTAAGGCCAAACTTATTATAGGCAGCTCTATATTACAAAGGGTGAGAACCAGGGGACTACAACAAGGTGTCCATGTAAGAACCAATAGAGGGGCCAAGCTCTCCAGAATCATGTCAAAATTATATCAAACCGCTGTTGAAGATTACTCTCACA